CATATACGTGTAATTCTGATGCCGCTAAACGTGAAGTGTTTGATTTGTAGAACAAATGCAAGTGTCACAAAGCAACCACAAACCCCTTCTCCATCGAATTGATTCCAAGCCCCAAACCTGGTGTGTCGATGAAATCTTTCTGCTTGCAGTGTAGGTTCGGACTGTTTTAATCATCTGCCAACTTATATTTTGGTGTTCAATTAAGCCAGTAACGAACTATTACTAGTTACATCTCATTTAACGCCGACAATCAGGCACGATTCTAACTTCACAAGGCGTTGCTATTAAGTCTTAACCTTATGCCAGTAGCACCTTATTTTACGCCGTTTAATTCTGTTTCGGATACAGGCATACCACAAATGAATCAACACATCATGCAGCAATTTCTTCATTCGCCAAGCCTTAAATTGTGTGGTTTCCTAAAATTTTGCCAAGTTAGCATTTGTTGACTTACATTAGGAGAAAAATTATTCTTCCTTAAGTTGCCTCTTATCAATCAAACAGAAAAACTCGGCTTGGTGTCGCTAAATTTTTCCAGTCGACTAAACCGATTGATTTTCTCTAGCTGGTGACTAGATTGTCAGTTTAAATGCATATATAGTGCTCATTTTAAATTCATTCAAATTGCGACCCACACAACACTCGCAAACGTTGACTTGAGAATGCTGTATCCATAACCCTTCCTCATCCTATGTGTACACTAACTGGTGTAGCGAACAAGTGACTGGAGCAGGAACAATCATGAGGAGATATTGGTGCTGCGTCATGTCATACATGAATCATAAACAGGCTAATCCAGTCAATTTGCTCAAGCACACGCAAACAGTAGCAAGAGTTTCATCACGGCAAACGGGATCTGTTTATTAAGGTGACAAGGCCACGCTTCGAGTGGAAACAACAGCAAATCCTACTCCGCTTTTTAAATTCTCCATCGATGATAGGAGCAGTGGGTTACCAGTCCTCATCTACTCATTCTCAACACGCCATCACATTCACACATTTGTCACGCAATCGTAAAACACACTCCTGTTGTATGCGAATCAAGGCGCCCTTTTATCCTCAGACACATTCCAATTCTCTTCACTTACCTGCTCGTTTGAATAGCTGAAAATCGCAGATTTTGCACAGGTGACCGGGTGGCACACAGACTGTATGCATCGCCAACTACTTGGAACGAAACTCGGTGGCAAAACGGCATGTTAACTTCTTCTAGTTATACAAATGTGACCTGGCAGGGCCGATCTTTATAGCACTAAGATTGTGCCAGTTCTATTAACTCCTCTGTTTTCTAAACCACGTGATTAATGACATCAGAGAGAAAAAAATCTACTCAACAAAACCACCATGACTGTATTTACCATTTACAGGTTACAACTCAGTGCCTATCACACAACTCGTTTAACCAAATTTGCCTAGCGCTATATAAACGGCGCACTTTGAGATGTGCAGCAAAGGCGATGATGGAAATTCACATATTCATGAATGAGCAATCTAAACGTGTGTTTCCGCTACCGATTTGCTACATCAAAGGGGCCTCGTATTTATGAAGGGGGACGACAAAAGAGAAAAATATCACGATCATTGTGGCCGCCCTAGAAAACAGTGTTTTTATTCTTGGAGTGAGATGTTCGCTACATGTTCTCTGAAATCATGTATGCTTGCTCTCAACACAATTTCGAAGCATTCTTTCCCCTACACCCTTCTCGTCCTCACTTCTCCTACCGACCGCCATTAACTCGGCTTTTATTATGCTATCAAAGAAGAATGAAAAAGGGCCATCAGTCACGTCGATATATTTTATTAACTTCCAAAGATCCGCTGACTTCCCTGTCTTCAGCATTAATTGTTGAACTCTGAACATCGCCAAAGAAGACACTGCGTCTGCATCTAGAATCGGTGCGTCATATTCCGCGGCATTTTTAATCGCTGGCTAGTAGAAGACTAGGAATGAGAAAGTGACAAAATCAGTCCAAGATGTTTGACAAGCGGAGAGGGAGAGCCGTTAGTCGCGTTGGTAGCCTCTGTGCCTTGCAAATCTGTTATCATTATTACTGTCTCTACTCAGAGTATCATTACCCTTCTCCATCATGGAACTAATGAAGTTTTACTATGAAAGGACTTCTGTTTACTGAAGTATCTTCATCGCATAAAGACTTCTGAAGCTTCGAGGAAGTATGGTCAACAGAATCCGACGTATTGCAGGGCGTCTACACGGCATAACCACTCACTCTCGCGCGACCCATGGCACTCTACAGCGTGATCTCATTTGCTGCGGCCAAGTGAGTCGGTATTTCGTGCTGACTCATCCGTGTTTTGATGTCGCACCTAGACGTGGGGTTCGAATGCCTACATTCTAAACATTGTGTCTCTTTCGTTTTTGAACGTGATGTTGTCTCTGCTCACATTAACAACTCATCACGTAGTACTGATTACTCAGCTCGTCTGACCAAGATTGCCCAATCCTGTGTAAGCGAGCAGTTTTGGCAAGGACTTTGTCATTTGTCCGCCTAATCGATATTACCGACCAATTGATAATTACCATTACTTCTGTGTGGATATACTGATAAGAACCAATGTCGGCATTCTTTAATCACTTCAGTAAAATCACTCCTAACGATAGCCTGGAACTAACTCATGCGGAAATTTAGCTCCTGTGGCTCTTTTTTAAAACATTGTTGCTGTAAACTTTGAGTTCTTGTATTGCGCATGAAAGATTTGTCGCGAGAGTCAAATTTTTGGACAAGTTGAGCCATATCAGTACCTATCTGTCCCACCACCATTTGAAGTTGATGTTCTATACGTGACAGCAGCTTCGTCTGCAGACTACGTCGAGATTAAATGAAGCCAAAAGTCGGAATAATGTAAATTTGTCAGTCACCATTTGATGTCGACTCTGATCATTTTTAATTACTGCTAACTAGCAGATGTGTAATGCGTGATTAATGCCCCGGAAGGTTTATGATAATCTTCGATGAACATTCGCATTTTTCACGGTAAACGGATCGAGCCACGGCAATATCAGAGCTTCTCTACAGCTTGACAAACTGCAGAAACGACAAGCCATTTCAACAAACTTGAGGCTACAAGTAGTTGGTAAACATGAGGAATCGACAAATTTAAAGATGAACAAGTTAAACCGCATTTCATTAGTTTGATAACGTTGTGTAGGGGCCAACATTTAACACTAGCACAAAACCCTGCAGCTAACAGCCGGACACAACCCGAAAAGGGAAAAGACAAAGATTTGAGAAAGAATACAACCGTTTTCTCGCGTCACGCCAATCAAGTCGAGTAACTAATTCTTGTGTGTTCGTACAGAATAGCAAGTGCGTTGATACAGCTTCGCTAAGCGTCGATTCCTAACCGAAGAGAGTTAAGTAAAGTGAATTCACGATTTACCGATTGAATCGTGTTCGCTCACGACTGCTAGATGTGCCACAGCTATCCCCCTTGGTAAAAGGAATCGGCGAGTATTTTCAAACTAGGCAAGATTCAAAGAATAATCGAGGTGGGTCATGTTTGAGACAGACGATGGTCATGATATGAGAACAAGGGTGGAGTCAGGCAGTATAACGATCAGGCCAGTAAACGCGTCTACCATAGCGTGTAGTGGCAATCGTTTCTTTACTGTCCGAAGGGATGGCAGTTGTCTGCGCCACTGGTATGTTGCTTGGTGGCGTCTCCGCGTCGAAAAATGCTGGCTTGATGCGGTCGATAGATACGGCGTCCTCTTTTCCATTTCGTTCGACGACGAAAACCTTTTCTTTTCTTCTGAGTATTCTGAAAGGTCCATTGTAGGTTGGTTGAAGTGGAAGACAAATGGCATCGTGCCGGATGGAAACATGAGTGCAAGAGGAGTGTTCTTGGGATGCGGCATGAAGTATGGGATGAGCGAGGTTGACTTGATATCAGTTTGCTCATTGCCTTCCTCAAATCATCAACGTAGCTACTTGTGTCCGGCCATGCAATTGACAGAGGGTGGTAGGCTGTCGTTCTAATATGCTTCGTCCCTAGAAGTCGTGTAAGATTTTGGAACAGGCTTGATTCAACCTGAGTTCCTCGATCTGTGGTGATGGTGGAGGGGACTCCAAATAAAGATACCTCTGAGCGATAGCCATATCCTCGAAGCCCACTTGTGTACCTGTATGTACAGCGTCGATGTGCAGCCGAGTCGGCTAATATAATGTCATTACCTTCGATTTGTCAAATATCAGTTGAAAACTGTTAAACATAATCCAAGTGCTTAGATTCCCTCGGTGACAAACGATCCGAACTCCAGCGGCTTGCAAAGGTCAGTGGTTTATGGGCGGTGCAGATCGTGAATTGCCAATTTGTAGTGGCCAAAATTTAGCACCACCACAATAACCTATAGATAACAGCCGGTCACAATCCTAGAAGAGAAATGATAGAGTCGAAAGAGAACACGACCGTTCATTTGCGTCACTCCAGTCAAGTCGAGTTACTGATTATTGTGTCTTTATGTAGCTTCGCTAAGCGTTGAACCTTGAACAAGCAGAGTTACGTGAATTGCATTCACGAAAATCGAATGAATCGTGTTTGCCCACGACCGCTAAGTGTGCTCGCCTGCTGCTCGCCACAGTTACAACTTACAGCTAGCCTCAGTTTTGAACAACAAACCTTGGATTATCAGACTACGCGGAGTTATTTGTAGAGGTATTGTTATCATTTGACATCGATTTAGCAAATGCGATCCCCACAGTTACCTAGTCACGCTCATTGCAGCAGCATGGTTGATGTTAGCCATGATTCATCACATGAGCGGAGGCGTGACTTACGGTTTCGTAGACTAGTGGAGATCAGTGATCCCCCCGAATTCCACGAATCAAATGCGCCGACGTATGTCATGTCTTTGTTCTCTGAACAGCGATTGGACGAGCAGGAAGCCTGAATGACTCAAGACAAACTATAAATGGAAGATGTTTGTGCGTGCGTCGAAGTCAAGCTTTTGTTTCGTTGCTCCTTCTGTCTTCTCCTGTGCCATGGTTCGTACATCTACAAATGCCGCCGACTCGGCTGAGCCGGATTGGACGACCTCCGAAATCTCTAAGATGATTGAAAATTTAACGTTTTGTCAATTGAAACCAGGCAAATTCGAAGTGGGCGATGACATTGATGAATGGCTCGAAGAGATGGATGAGCTCTTTGCCTATACAGACCCTCAACTCCGCTCACAAAGGCTTATGAATGGACTGGCGAAGAAGGCTAGGATGGTAGCTGAGCTGGCTGGCTGCTCGTCAGCCATGCCTTATGACCAGCTAGTTGCAGCGCTGCGAAACGAATTTGCAAACGTCGACGAACTAGCCAGGATACTGAGGTGCCGTACCTACCGACCAGGTGAACCTCTTCTAGACTACGTAGCTGACATATATTACCTGGTACCCAGGGTTTACAGGCACATACCACGCTCGTGTCGTGATATGGTAACGAGTGCACTGGTCGTTCTTGGTCTACCAGAAAACCCGCTTAGGCGTTATCGACACCTTTTAAACCAGCCGTTGGCGGATGTGCTGCGGGAACTCACTCAAGATCCAGTTCTCAATAGGAGATACCCAGTAGCTCCTTCGTTTTTTCCACGTTCTACAACAAACTGGCGTTGTCGCAGACCACAACGGTTTCAGATGCCGCAGCCTCGGCCGTATAACCGAATGCCGACACGCAGCTATCGCATAGAATAGGTCCCTGGTGAGTTCTCCGACGCGGTTTCATAGAAAAGCAATTCATTTCAGCGTAGGTAACCTATTAACCTTGTGATCCATGAAGCTTGTTTGCAGGCTTGTTATGTCCTAATTGTCTCGACGATCTCATTTCATATTATTGTCATGATCGTCTCTGCCGCGCTTAACCTGGCATCTGATGGCAGCCTTCGTCAGAACGGTGGTGCGGACAGTATGGCATGGACTTGGGGTGGACCTGGTGAGATCGCTCAAGCGAACACCAGTTAACCGCAAGAAGCACGTCGAGCCGTGGCGTCTATGCAGCTGATCCGCTAACGCATGATATTTCTCTGTTTTAGGAGCCAAGAATGAACCAATAGGTCACAAGAACGACTCAAAATAAACTGCATTAAGACGGTATTTGTTCGTTTTGGTCGTGATCGGGTGGTTTTTGTGAATGTCGCCACTAAACCTCTGCCGCTTTGTTCCGTCAGCGATTTCCTACAGCGTGGGTTGGGAATCGGAACGGTCTAAATAAAATTAGCCGCAAATATTGCTTCAAAAACAGACCAAAACTCGATGTAGGTAGAAATCCAGACGGTGAATGCTTAATCCGAGCAAGGGAAAAGATTGCATACAGGTGAGGCTAACAAGTGGTAGAGGGCTAAATTAACAGACGAAAGATTACGTTTTCTTCTCGGCGTAACAAAGTTCTTATTCGTACATCCTGAATTCTACGTCCTGATTGATGATCTCTAACCTCTAGCTCTGCAGCGCCAGTCGTCTTTAGAAGGGTTTTTTGACACTTGGAATTGTCTATTTCTCAAAATTCATCCAACTAAACCTTCCTTCTTTAAGATGAACTACCTGTTAAACTTGTGCGCAATAATTTCTGATCCTTAGCAGACAATACCTAAACAAATTAGAGTCAAATTCGGGCGTCTAATGTCTGCTTAATTTTAAGGCTTTTTCCTTGGTTTTATTATCACAATACGCGTTTATTGTATGTTCCTGCTGCTGCCACATATGTTGAACTTGGCGAATAAGTAAGGAGCGGCACATCGTTAGTGAAGAATACTGTGGCTTGACGTTCGATTGAGGTTTGTGAAATGTTGTAAGGCAACCGCAAATCAACATTGCTCTTTGATGAGGTCATACACTCGTGGGAGACTGCTTCCACTGCTGAATCTATGGTGTTGCTAAATACTTTTAGAAAAAGCGCCAGGGCCTGTTATCGTTTTCTTCAAATTCTGGTTGTGGCAGTTAAAGCTCGCTTTGAATGCCAGCTGGAAAAGTTGAGAACGAAGAGGATGCGTCAGATGGGTGATGAAGGTGGTTATCTACGCGATGTCAGCTTAAACGACGTCTCGTAACGAGAACTTATTGCAGTGTTACTTTGTCTCCAGACTTCGTCAGTCTTCTTAGGGAACTGATAGCAGTGGTGAAGACGTGAAGGCCGACTTTTGCGACAAGAAAAATGAGTATGCGAAAAATTTATGTCACGTGACACACCCAAGTTAAGGCTTTTTGAGCCTCTCGGAATCTGACACATTGCAGGACGTCTGCACACATAAGCCACAACTGCTTCCACCGGCAGTTGTTGAATGTGGCCATCTTAGTTGCATAAAAATAGCTTGCATATTTATAGAAATCTAATAAATATGGGGTTGCATCTGGGATCACGACTAGGATCTAATGTGTGGAAAATTCTAGAAGTGAATCTACAGAGTCCAATGATTTCGGCTGGCAACGTTGAGAAATTGTCCTGTGAATATACACGGTACTCTTTTCATGGATTGGTCTGTCAGATACTTTGATTAACATTGCCCAGATACCAGGGGCATTAGGATAGACTTTGTAAAAATAAAAACACCAACCATTAACCTTTCTTGAATGAGGTCAATCCAAGCTCAGTCCACTGCAGTTTTCACCAATCCGTGTTAAACCAGAGTTTCAATAACGATTTCTTCTGTTGTAGCTACTTAATTGTAGCTACAAGCAATCACATGAAAACTGTCCAAATTTGGGAATTAAAATTGATGGGCACATGAAGGACCAATAGAATTACTTAACTCAAGTTTATTTTACTCCCACTACCGGCGATCACTAACAGTGCAACAGAACGACATACCGAGCGAAAGAATTCCGAAGCCAGATTTAAGTGCCCAATCAGCCCCTCTACAGGGAACAATTCTCAGGAAATCAAAGCCTTGAAAAAATAATTGAAGGCAGCCTAGAGATCGACAATAGCAGCAATCCTGGTAAAACAACTAGTGCATTTTGAGGCCTTCGTAAAATTCACTGGTTTTCAGAAACCTAGATTGCCACTTTGTAGAGGCGTTGGCCGATTCCATATGCCGTGCGTGAATTGAGTGAAGGCTCGACTGGATGCTTGTACCATAATGCAGGTGAATCTAAACACGTTTTGAGAAATTATTATTATGCGTACTTGAGACAGAAAATTCAGCTGACAGACACCAAGTCTACCCCACGCCATTCCAGAAACAAAACACGTATGAGTCACTGCGAAAGTCTGACTCACGTGACGCGACGCGAGCGACCTTGACCTCAACTAACATGAACGTGTAATGGAATGGGAGTTAGGCCTATTTGCTGATCAGTTTGTGTCAATCACTCAACCCATTTCTCATTCGTTACTGTTAGTAGTCGTCGTCAATCTCACACTTGGCTGACCAGACGATGGTAAACAGTCGGATCACTTGTGACACCTCATATCTCTGTTCTCTGATTGCTACAGCTTGTTAACTATCAGTCATTATACTGGCATATAATTCATGAAGGAATGTGATAGCACTAAGTGAATTTAAGGCAATCGATCGCCACAGGAACCAGGTATTCTAACTTTCACAAACCTTAACTATCAACCAGATTTTGATTCGGTATTGGCCTCTCTAAATCTTGATTGGTCAAATCGGAAAAAGCATGCTCTCTTAGAACCTATTGTGTATAATCTGCAATCTGACCAAGTGCCTGCATCTCGGCATGACGAGGGCATCTGTCTCTAGTTCAAGCATTCAAGGCGGTTGCAGTAAGTCAACAACCCAAATGTTAAGAAATATCAGAACAAGATTACCACCTTGATGATGCACGTGTGAAGTTCATGAAGGGTGTGATTAATGGCACCATGCCCTAAATCAGCAGGGAATTTTACGGGAGTATCAAGAGGTGTGCCGTCGCTGCACAACCGATCTTGGAATTGCATCAGCTTGACTCAGGCAAGTAAATAATTAAATGGGCACTTTCTCAGATGTTGAGAAATAACGAAGATAATTTGCTCTGGCAGAGCTTAAACCATACTAGACTGGATGGATTGTCTCAATTTACGTCAGCTATTCAAGCACTTGTAAATGGCATATGCAAATATTACAATTAAACCAGATAACGCGTCAGGTTGTATGCCTGTATATTTTCAAAGAACCAACTTACTGTTTTCAAGTTTGAACGACGTAAAATAGTTGTCAGAACTAGGCAAACCACGTTTCGTTTGGGTCCTAAGAACTCCGCATTGACACAGTACCTACAAAGCTAGAAACATTGGCGTTACTCAGAAAAAATGATCCAATACAATGATGTAAGAGTCAGGTAAAGTCCTTTCCTTCTATCTGACAAAACCATCAACTCACTTCACCCAGTTATGTTACAATACATAGAATCGCTTCTGCAACAGGTTAGAATGATGGTAAGGCTTAAGGGAAGAGAGTGTCAATACCAATCAATTCGCACATCATCCGTTACAACAGCC